CGGGCACAGGCTGGCCTGGCTGTCGATGGAGCAGCGGCTGCCCGCGCAGCCCGCGCCCTTCTCCTCGTCCAGCAGCACGCAGAGCTCCTTGAGCTCCATGTTCTCCTTCACCACCTCCTCCTGCCTCACCTCCAGCTCCTTCAGCTTCTGCAGGTACAAGGCCACCTCCTTGTGCATCACGCCGGCCGTGAAGCGGCCCAGCCGCTGCCACTCGCGCGACACCCGCTTGCCCTTCTGCCGGTCGTCATCCAGGAAACAGCAGAGGTCCCTCAGCTCCTGGTTGTCCTCCTGGAGCTTCTGGTTGATATCCTGGAAAGAGACAGACGGACACTTAGGCTGGGTCTGGTTTTGTCTCCGGTCCCCGCGGGGCTTCCCCGGGATTAGACCCCAGGAGCGAGGGAGCCTGGCACTGGCGAGGTCCCTTCATTGCTGCGGGAGGAGAGAGAAGGGGAGAGGAAGCTCCAGGCTTGCAGCTGCCCATAAAAATAAAGATGGCAGGTCCTGGTTAGGCTCCCTGCCTGAGGCTTTCTGTGTGTTATCCCATCTCATTTTCTCCAAAACACTTAGGAGGTATTGGGGGACGATGATTGTTATGTTTCTTTTACAGGAGAGAAAACTAGGCCTCTCCAAGTGTGTCTTGTCCAAGGTCAACCATTAGCTATACAGGGAGCAGCCTGTTAACAGGAAATCGGTAAACAAACAAACAAACAACCCCACCACAACAAAACACTGCCCTGTCCCCCACCCTCAGGGATGAAAGACGGCCACTGTGACTGTGCAATGCTTAGAAGGCCTTCATCGGCACAAACAAGCTCTGCCTAGGCTTCCAGCCCCTACTCCCCCGCCAGAGGGAACCGCACAATTGCCCCCTAGTGGCATTTCAGTCCCGCACATCCGGCCCCCGCTGGCCACAGCCCCTGCTCATCTCCAGGCATCTCCCAGGAAAGGAAGCAATGCTGAGCTCTGGGGTGATATTCAAACTCCCCTCCCCAAACTGCACCTCTCGGCAGACGCCACCTCCCCCCACCCTGTTGCTCTTGATTAGAACCTGTAGTTATGCCTGGCGCCTCCTTCTCCCTCGCCTTCCACTCCTGCGCCAAAGGGGTCTTCTGAAATCTAATTCCAAAATTCATCTCATCACTCCCGTGCTCAAAACCCTTAACAGCGTCTCACTGCCCTCAGAATAAAGCGTAAAATCCTTCAAGTCTCAGGAGGCCCCCAATACTCTGGCCCTGCCTACTTCTCCAACATGAAGGGGGAGTCACTGCTCCGTTGACAAATATTTAGTAAGCACCTATTATGTGCCAGATACCAGTCCAGATGTTAGGGATACACCACTGGACACAGCAATGACTCTGAATTCCTACAGCTTTCATTCTGGTGGGAAAGATTCGCAAAAAGCAAAGACAGAACATTGTGAAAAGTGCTGGGAAGAAAACTAAAGTAGATTAAAAAACTATTTTTTTTTTTTTAAGAGAAGGCACCTCTGCAGAGAAGGAAAGCATTTCAGCGAAGACCTGAGCGAAATAAAGGCGCAAACATTTGAGAGATGATCCCAGGAAGAGAGAAGGTCAAGCATAAAAGCCCTAGAGACAAGTGTGGCTCGAGCGGCAGTGAGGCCAGCGTGCCAAAAGTAAGGTGAGCAAGGGGGGCAGAGGCCTGAAAGGTGTCAGGGGCCAGGTACTGCAGGGCCTGGCCAGCCCAGGAAAGGACTTCGGACTGTGGGATAGAGGAGTGACATGGTCTGATTCATTTCGTAAAGAATCACCATAGTTTTGTGTGAAAAATAGGTCAGCTGGTGGGCAGGGGTTGGAGAGAAGGGAAGGAGACAGGATAAGGTGGAAGCTCAGAGGCCAGCCAGGAGGCCCCTAGGCTAGTCCAGGCAGAGGGAGACGCCAGTGGCCTGGACGCCTGGCAGCCGTGGAGAAGGGGAGAAGGTCCCCTTCCCATCACGCACTGGGCCCCACCACCACTGGCCTTGTTTCAGGGCCTCAAGGGACAAGCCCTTCTCCTCTTCACTTGAAATGCTTTCCCTCAGCCTTCTACACAACCTTCAGGTCTTACTTTGTTACTTCCCCACAGAAGCTGTCCCCGACCACCACCCCCAATCCGAAGGAAGTCCCCTTCTGTGTTCTCCCGTTGCCCCCTTAGACTTCGCGTCTGCTGCACTTACTACAACTGGCAGTCACGTATGGTTGGTGACATGTGGCTGAGTGTGGCTATGAGTCACATCTCCATCCTCATGAGACTAGTCCTGAGAGTAGAGACCCCGCCATTGTCTATTCTGTTCACCCCTGTGTATCCAGAACACTGCACCCCACTGTAGGTACCTGAAACCAAGGAATTTTAAAAATTAATTGAGAAGCCCCATTTATGCTCCATTCACATATACAGTAAAAGGGGTAACTGTTTCTTGAAGCACCATGGTTTGGTGGGGGTGAAACAGGGGCGACTACCTAAGAGTACCCCTGCTTTACAAAAAAGCAGGTTTTTCCCTTGAAAACCTCTGGTCCTGTGACTCCAATCTAGAACTAGAGGTACTCGGAGAGAGGACTTAATTCTCTTAAACTCAGGTTGACTTCAACACTTCCCCTGCTACTGACTAGAAAAATAAACTAGAAAACATCTGCCACCCACACCCTGCACACCTCCTAACGGCACGAGGCCAAAGCTGGGAGTGATGTTCACGGCGGAGGAAGAAGGTGTGTGCAGCGCAGCGTGCACCTCCACGCCGACTCTTGGCATCGCCGACACCC